TGAGAGTAGCAATACCAGGAGGGGAAGGGGAAGGTAGAGTAGAAAGGGGGAACTCATCACAGTGATCTACATATGAACCCCTCCCTGGGGGACGGACAACAGAAAAGTGGGTGAAGGGAGATGTCAGGCAGTGTTAAGACATGAAAAAATAATAATAATTTATAAATTATCAAGGGCTCGTGAGGGAGAGGGGCGGTGAGGGAGGGGAAAACACGAGGAGCTGATACCAAGGGCTCCAGTGGAAAGAAAATGTTTTGAAAATGATGATGGCAACAAATGTAAAATGTGCTTGACACAATGGATGGATGGATGGGTTATGATAAGAGTCGTACGAACCCCCAATAAAATACTTTTTTTGAAAAGTAGAACGAGAATGGTGAACTCTCCTGTGAAAGGCGTTACAAGATACATTAAATAACACAGGATCAAAACCTACGGTGTCAACTGCTTGATCCTCAAATGCCACCTATCTACGAGCACTTCTCTGTGCACATACTCACATGCATTTGCTGAAGGAAATTCTTCAGCACTCCCAAGGACACGGCAGGAAGGGGTGGGGGAGGAGGGATGGAGATGGGAAACACAGGAGGCGGCGAGGTTAGGGAAGCCACGGTGTGGGGGTTGAAGCCAATGACATGCAACAAAATGGGTATGGATTCTCGAACGGAACTGCTCTGTATGCCTCTGAGTACACCTATCAAACAAACAAACAGAAACAGTGAAGAGAAGCTTCTTCAAAACTGACCAGCAAGGGACCAGGCCGGAAAGTAAAGCTGTGGTAACGCCGCAGCAAAGGCTCTGCACCCACACTGTGCGCGGCAATGCCGTTCCTCGAGGTGGCTGCTCCTGAGCCACTTCCTCCATCTGGGGGCCTTTCCAGAACAAAGGCTCCAGCCTGGCGTCAACCGGCTAACGGGGCCACCAAAAGCTTCCCAGACACGCTGGCTCTATTTATTTCAGCTCCCTACTCCCATCCTTGCCTGTGGTTAAGAGGTCTGTTTGAAAGTTGATCTGGGATGAGCACACTACGCAAACAACTGGGTCTACCACACTGGTTACGCTCCATCTCCCCGCTGGTCAATTAGCGGTTATTTCCCTTTGCACATATAGACATGACAGCAGCAGGGTCAGCCTGTGAAATTGTTCTGCAGAAAAAACACACCAAATAAATAACCACCCCAGGGATTTCAACACCAGAAGCCCTCAAATTACACATAAAGTGTTTGCTAGAAGGGAACTTATTAGTCTGTTATTGGAACTCAGACCACGCTTCCAAAATAATGTCTCTATAAATACTGGTTACCCTCCAGGCCAGCACACACAGCTGCCCTGAAATAACAGACAAGAGCAGAGCGCGATACGGTCGGGACTGAAGGAGTTGGAACAGAAAATGAAAGAGTGTGCTTAAAAATGAGGGGGTCTGGCGGGCACTTGAAAAGAGACTGTGCCATGATGAGATCCCAGCCACGTGGGTTGGCCAAGTGGGTGCGCTGGCAGACAGCCTTTCCACACCTCGCTTCAGCACTCCTCTGGGCAGCTCCCAGACTCTCCCTCATCTGGGCTCACTCGGCTGGCTCCCCGGCTATGGGTGACTGCCTCCTTAGCTGGCTTTCCTGCAGCCTTGACTGGCTCTGAGACGCACACTCATCGCCCATCAGCTGCTCCCAGGCATTTCCACGTGGCTGCTGCCCATCCAATACTCCATGTTCCACTGATCTCATCTTCCTCCACACAGATGGCCTGGGCTGAAGACCTGGGTGTCCATCCGCATTCTATCCTCCCTCTTGTCACCACCTCCCACCCTGTCAAACCCCACGCAGGGCTGCCTGATGGTCTACTGGAGATTCTTAACCACTCTTCCATCCTGCCTATCTATTTCCCAGAGGCTGAGCAGTGCTGACCTGTGGTGTGGCCCCATGGTTACCTGCTGATATAGAATGCACAGGTGTAGGTTGCCATGCCAGCCAGAATGAGGCAGAACAGAGGAGTCTGATGTACACACATACACAATACACCTCTTTCTCTCATGACTATTCCAGGAGCCTCCCAGTGGCTCTCTGGGTCAGCAACAGGGAGGGGAACCCTCCAGGAGATGGATGGACACAGTGGCCACAGCAAGGGGCTCACACAGGACAATCCCTGTGAGGATGGTGCAGGACGAGTGGTGTTTGGGTCGTTTGCACACAGACTCTCCATGGCACCTGACAACAACTGAGCAAACTCAAACCATACCACAGGGTCCTGAGGCTGCAAATCCTTACAGAACAAGATGGACACATCCTTCTCCCGGGGAGCAGCGGGTGAGCTCAAACCACTGACCTTTTGGTTTGCAGCCCAGTATGCTTAATCACTGCACCACCAGGGGTCCTTTGCGAAAACCCAGGCAACTTTGGATCCTGTTAGCCCCAGAGGAGAATCAGTAGATCCTTCTTGGCGACCGCATTTTCAGTAACACAGAGACTCGATGGCTCATCACGCCCAGTACACTAAGCAGTATATTGTAAGTAAGTTGACAAGTCCGAAGCCAGCAGGACCAGCATTGATATAGCTGGAGTAAAGGATTCTGCTTCTAACACAACAGACAGAACCTGGCAGAGTACAAAGGAGACAAAATACCGCTTTACTTTGCTGGAGCCAGACACCTCTCTCACTGTCATCGGGTCAATTCTGACTTACACAAGACAGGGTAGAGCTGCCACTGTGGGTTTCTGAGACTGTAACTCTTTATAGGAGTACAATGTTCCAGCTTTCTCCTGAGGAGCGGTGAGTAGGTTTGAACTGCTGACCTTGTGATTAGCACAGAAGCACTATCCCACCATGGATACATCCCTGGACTTTTCAGTTATGAGACTGAGTTAGTGCCTAAACCCAAAGGCACCCCTGACAGAGCCCCGGTTTCATCCTCAGCCTTGAATCAGTCCTGATGGCACCTGACCACCCCACACTCACGTTCTGACCCAGGAGACAGGGAAGGGCAGGAGCCCGGGCCATCCAGGAAGCCCGTGGTAATCCGGAAGGCGGGGGAGCAGTAAAGACAGATGAAGGAGGAATGCGCACAAGGAATGGACAGATGAAGGAGGAACGTATACACAGGATGGAGGTTACAACAGAAACAAAAGGCAGACCTAAGGAAGAGCCCCCTCAAGACTGAGATATGCAAATAGGAGAGGGCATCTCCTTGACCTCCCCACCTCTGCCTGATGATCCACAAAGGCCCCTCCGGACGGTCTTGATCACAAAACCTCTGAGAAAGGTGTTGTAGAAGCTACTGTTTATCTCATGTGTTGTAAGAGCCAATCCACAACCAACTTTTCGGATTTGGTCAGACGTCGCTCTGACCGTGTTAGCCCGTCCCTCATCTCTTTGCTCTTTGCTGCAAATGCCGAATGAAATTCTGTTTCCCTCACTAGTATGCTGGGGTGCTTTCCCTAGGACCAGACTCAGTGCACCACCTTTTTGCTGAGACCGGACGAGCTGGGTTTCCATCACACGAGACTGAGAGAGTTCTGGATGGTGAGAAAGAGTCCCTCATGACCACCTAGTCAGTGCTGAGTCAGAGCGACGCACTGGGGGTTCCGAGGCCGTAACTGTTGAGGGGAGTAGGAGGCCCACGGGCTTCTAGTGGTTTTGCACTGCCGCCGGTGGGGACTGCAGCCCAATTTGTAATCGCTAATCCACCAGGGCTCCTCAAGAAACTGTCAGGCACACTGCATATTGCCACAGCCAGCATAGCAATTTTACAAAAGAACACAAGTCTTCTATATCTTGCCCTCCCCAAAAGGGTTATTTTCAGTAGCCCTATTATGTCCATTTTTTAAAGATGTTGCTGTTAAAAAAAAAAAGGTATAGCTCAATTTAAATAAAAATACCTTGTTACAACATCTATAAGAGCTCCCAATAAAATGATTTCTAAAAGAAGAAAGAAAAGCGCCTCACGGAGGGAACGTGTGGTTGGCGAACAAAGGCAGAAGGAGAGCCCCGTTTGCATTACGACGGGGAGTCTCTCCGCGACACCCCAGTGCCTTACGGGAGGAGCAGGAGGGAGTGAGGCAGGCGTGACGGTAGAACGCGGTGCTGGATGTCCACACAACCTCTTGCTAGCATGGCCCCGCGTGTGCCGGGCAGAACTGCTGCCCGGAGCTTGCAAGGCCGCGACCTTCCAGAAGCAGAGCACCAGGCCTGACCGCTGAGCTACCCTGGGTTGGGTTTGAACCACCATCCTTTCAGCAGGTAGCCGAGTGCTTAACCGTTGGCACCATGACACAAGACTGTGCTTGGGCCTCAAGCTCAGCCCACAGAGAGGGGCATGACGTGATCTTCCAGGGTGTTTTAGGAGCCAAGTAAGCTCTTTTTGGAAAGCAATCGGGAAGATTGTCTGTCCCTTCAAAACTCTGAAACTCACTGTCATCAGGTTGTCTGCGACTCAGAGCGACCCCGTGGGGAAGAGTAGAACTGCCCCTGTGGGGTTCCCAGACTGTAACCCTCTAAGGGAGTAAAGAGCCGTATCTTCCTTCTGATGAGCTGCTGGTGGTTTTGAATTGCTGGCTTTAGGGTTAGCATCCAAACCTGGCGGACCCCACCAGGGTTCTCCGTCTCCACTAAATGCTAACCACAACCCTGCTGTCTGCCCCGACAGGCAGACTGGGTAAGAGGGAATATTACCGACCCTGCATGCGGGGAAGCACCCAGGGAGTGCCTGCTGCACGGAACATGCCCAAGGGGTGACGTCACCTTCATCTGACATGGCTAGCTCTCACTCTCAGGAGAGAAGAAGAACTTAAAGAAAGAGCTAGACACACATCAGCTGCCTTTTCTTACCACCACTTCCCGGAAACCTAGAAACGCCGACTTCGCCAGAGGAACCGGACGCAGCCAAGGGCTGCTTAGAGATGGTGACGTGAGACGCTGAGTGAGCTCTGGCCCCACACTGTGAAACCTGGACCTAAGTGGAAGGATGTCGGGCTCTCCGACAGGTACAGCCGGGCACAGGCTGGGCTCACCGTGTTGGGCACGTAGGGCAGCCGGTAAAACCTCTCCTGCGTCTCCTTCAGGATGTCTGTGGTCGAGCGCCCCAGGGGATGCTTGCCGTGGTACAGCTGGTCCAGAACGGCGTAAAAGACCTAGGAGACGAAGACACCACTTACTCCCGAGTGCCAGCCCCTCGGCCAACCGGTGACGCCCGAGATGCTCCAGGGCCCCAGTCACTGTCACACGAATCAGTTCTACGCACACCTGGATACAAAGGCAGCGGCTTGAGGCACAGCTCCTAGTTCATGAGCAACTGGGGGGCTCTCAGCCCTCTCCTGGTCAAGGGGATTAGAGAATTTCCAACCTTGCCCATTAAGGGTACTCTCTATGCACAGAATGTGCAACCCCGAGACTGAAATTTTGCCAACGTCTGTGATAAGGGGGCTTCAAAAAGTCTGTGACAAAATTTCATGGTCTTTTCATTCCATTTGTCCCCCACCTCCCGGAGTCTGAAGACCCCTCGAATATGTAGTTGGGAGACGTGGTCAAACCGAGGGTTAAAACATGGGATTCCCCCACGCCTGCGCCCCGCTCCCCGCAACCCACCCAGGATCTTTCGAGTCTGGCGATTTCTCCCTGGACAACTGGTGCTTTGTGAAGGAGAGGAGAGGGAGGCTTCGGCATGTGAGTTCTGCGGCATGAAGACAAGTGAATGGGGGGAGTGCGAGCCCTCCTCTGGAGAGCTCCATGCTGCAGGGAATGCTGATGCAGCTGTTGGTGGGCCTGGAGGTCAGGTCAAATCAGACCCCAGCATGTGACCTTGGGGCGCATACAACGGAGCAGCTGCTGAGAGGGGCTGGAGATACAGGCCCCTTGGTGTACAGGACGCAGGCCACCGGGACGTTGTTGGAGAAGCACAGCAAAGGCATTGGCTGGCGCGTGCTGCTGAGAATCACCGTGTGCACGGAAAGCCTAAGGCCAAACGAATGTGCTTTTCCATGGACACACGTGACCTGGATAAGAAGCCCTGTGGGGCTCGGGTTTTGGGAGAAGGTGGGCAATGCTTTGTTCCCAGGAAGAGTTCTGACAGGGCAGTACACAGTCTCCAGATGTAGAAAACGGAGTTTGTGCAGAATGTGCAGCTGTGGACTTGAAAGGTACGAGGATTAGCTTGGATGAGCGAGAAGTGCCCGTGACTTCTGGCTGCAGGCTTCGTCTAGATACAGAACTACGGTTCTAAATGATGCACTCGGGCTGAAACACACACACACACACACACACACACACACACACTCATTTCCTAAGTACACCTATTGGCTTACTCTAATCGGTGATCTAAACACATAGCTAAGTAGAGCTCTGTCCACTCGACCTTCCATAATGCGCAACAACGCACACAGTTCACCAGGAAGGAGTCTCTGGGCTGCCTTCCGCTTCACCAGAGAAAGTCGAAGCTTGGAAACCTGGACATCAGCTGAGGAGAGGCGCTCTGCCCCACCCAGGAAGAGAGCCCGGGTCGAAGCTGTTCTTGTCTTCAGTTGAGCCTGTCACACTGATTAAACATGGAATGCCTGCCTTTTTGGTTCTAGTCAGAAAAAGCGTGGACGAAATTTAAGGTGCGGGCGTTTGTTGCCGGCTCACTTGCTGCTAAAACCAATGATTTCTAGACGGAGGGGCCTATTCACCTACACAGGGAGTTGTTCATTCTGGAACCAGGGATCTTAGCGGCACAGAAAAACCAGTCGGGGAGTTTAAAACACTGCTGACTCCCCGTAGGGCTCACTTCCTTTCCAAGTGTGTTTGTCTCCATTGGTCAGAGGGTGTCTGGCCGGCTCGGAGTGGGCAAAGCTGTCCGGCCAGAGCTGTCTTCCCTCTCCCAACACTGGGGCGAGGGTGGAGTGGGGGTGGCGGGGGGTATGTCTTTGGGAGGGGAGAGGAAGCAGGCAGCTGCTGCCTTTTGGTTTGAAAAAAAAAAAACCACCTCACATTTGGGGATGGTGAGTGGGGCGGCTGAATCATAACAGCAGATATTTTGCTATCTTATATTTACACCCCCCCACACACACACACATCAGCAGTAGCAACATCAACATATGCACGCAGGTTATTACACGTTATATTACACATATATATGCACACAGTATACTAAAAAAGAAAGGGGTGCACAGGAACCCTACTGCAGATGGTAACACACTGAAAGACTTGCTGCGGGGTCGGTCGTTTTTAAAGAGAATGTTAACATCCTCAAGCCGTTGTCTTCCCTTGCTTCTAACTCTAGCGACTCGACACAAATGGAAACGCTGCGCTTTTGCTGACAGTGGGCATTTCCTGCACGGAAAGCTATCTCCGAGTGTAAGATACTGTTTTGCTTCGCATGCTCCCTGGGGGTTGGCAGTTACAAAGTAACATTACACAGCAACGTTACAACATTTCAAAGCAGCTCAGAGGCAACACATTTAAGCCTGTCATGAGACGAAAGCAGGCCGTGGGGGCCATGTTGCAGGGCCGGAGAGGCCATGACACAAGCCTCACCATCCGCCGTCACCATCTGAGTGCTGTCCAGATGGCTCCTGAAAGCCTCCCGTTCTTTGGCTAGAAATCTGAAGGAGCGGGTTTAGAATCCCGCCCACCACTGATGGCTACGGATGTGTACACGCCACATGTCACCACAGATCTGCAAAGGGTGCAAAGCCAGTCAACAGAGCGGGCGTTTGCATGTGGTGTGGTGTAACTGCCCGAGCTTTGGGGGTCCCCACTGGAAGCATGGGAACCTCGCTTCACACCGGCAGTGTGAACGCTCAGTGGCTCAATTGTGCTCACGTTCTGGATGTGAGGTGAGAGATGGTCTGGAAGCGCTATTGGCTAATCAACGTGTAGCCCCGACGAGATCTGAAGGTAAAGGCCCGCGTACCTGAAGCTGCATGTCGGCTGCCGCACCAACCTTTTTGGACTCGCAAAGGCGGGAGACCATGTCTTTGGGCAGCGGCTGGAGAGAGAGACAGAGAACACAGGAGTCAGTTGCTTAGTGAGCCACTGCATTGCACTGGGTCCGGAGGGGTTGGAGAAAGTCACCGAGGCTTACAAAAAGAAAGAAAAATGGAAGTTGATTACTGTTTAAATAATCATCACGCTTCAATGCCTTGGTTGACCAGGCAGCAAAGATGAAGGCATGCCGTTTCATTTCAAAATGTGATTTGCCAAACACGGCTTGTACATGAAGATACAAGCTTGCAGGGAACGGAGACATTGAGGTTGATATTTTTATGCCACTTCAAACCCTGAAATGAATCCTTTTGTTGTGCCTCTGAGAGCCCGCTCAGGGCCTCTGTACCGCTAAGTGCACACAATCGCTGGTGATTGGGCTCCAAGACTAAGATGTCAAGGGAGAAATCAGGACTTGTGGTACCAGCTGGTGTTAACTTCACTGAACTGACAGCTCAGCAAACAGCCGCGGTAACAAGTCGTCTATTCCTTTCTTTTCTAACCTGAGAGAGTCCCTGGTCTTGTACCCTGAGTCCCATGGCTCGTATGGTTTACTTAATCATTAACAAGGCCTTAATCCTCCATCAACGATTTTCCCAGGCCTAGTCCAGCATTGAACACTATTGCCAGCTGCTCCCTGAGAGACCGGAGAGGCTCTCTGCTCCCGTGCAGAAGAACCCTTTTAAGACCCCCGGGGAAGGTCCACCCTGTCTCAGAGCCGCTGCCAGGTGGGACTGACTCGATGGCATCGAGGCTGGTTTTCTGGAGAGTGCAGGAGAAGGGGGAACAGTCACACGACTTCCCTGGGGATGCAAACGGTGCCTGGTACACGGCAGGCGCTCGGGAGTTGGAGGAACGAAGGAACGCGCGCCTGCGTGCGAGCATGACGCTCGCTCGGGGAGTGGTTCATGGAGCGGAAGACGATGCGTGTGCATGCAGAGAGCTCCACAACGGTCAGGCCCTGTCCCTTCGGCTGCTTTCAGGCTGACCACAAGAAGGGCAAGCCAGCCGCTGCCCCTGCGTGGAAAAGGGCATTCAGCGCAACTCCTGAGGCAGGAAACGTCAAGGCTTTCGGGAACTAAAGGCACTGATCAGGTGCGAATGGGATTTTCCAGTCAAAATTTGGCTAATTTGTCTCTAAACCAGTGGTTCTTAACCTTCTTAAAGCTGCGGACCCTTTAATACAGTTCCTCAAATGGTGGCGACCCCCTAACCATAAAATTACTTTCATTGCTACTTCATAACTGTCACTTTGCTGTTATGAAGCAGGCGACCCCTGTGAAAGGGTAGTCTGACACCACCACCACCCACCCCCGCCCCACAAAGGGGTCTTGACAACCCATAGGTTGAGAACCACTGCTCTAAACTGTTCAGCCTTCTTCAGGTGTGACGCTACACGATGCTTTATGTGGACCGTTGCACTGGCCGGTCAATGCGACTCGTCATGACCATGTGCAGATTCCCTGAGACTGTCTTGGCAGGAACAGTCTGCCTCATCTGTCTCCTCTGGAGCGGCTGATGGGCTTGAACCAGTGACCTTGTGGTTAGCAGCTGAGATCTGAACTGAGATTCCCACAAATGCATTTGTTGTGTGGGATTTGTTATCCCCAGTGCAATTTGGCACCAGAAGGGTAATCTTATTTATCCTGGGCTCATCCACGAAGATGATGTTAGAAAGAAGGAAGTGTGATTTGGGTTTCTTTAAAAATCCCGTAGGCTGGATATGGAAGTAAGGTAAGAGTAGATTACTGAAAATCAGTTAGGAGATCACAGGTATAAAGCCCAGGACAGCTTGGTCAATGGTGACCTACGACACAAGAGCTAAGTGAGACGGGCAGGGTGGGGAGGTGAGTAAGCAAGGGATGTGCTGGTTGACTAGATGTGTGTGAAATGCACGCAGCTCTCTTCGCTGTGGATCAGTACATGAAGTGCCAGGACGCCTGTGCTCACATGGCTTGCTGGGTGTTCCGTCCCAGGCAGGGAGCGTAAATCTGAAGAGGCTTTGGTTTCGTAAGGAAGGTACTGTGGGCCAGGGAGGGGGGACAAACAGCAGCCATGCCTAGAAGTAGTCTTGAACGGGGGAAGCAGAAAAACATGCACTGCAGGGAGTGGGGAGGGAGGGGAAAAATGAGGACCTAATGTCGGGGGTTTAAGTGGAGAGAAAATGTTTTGAGAAATGATGTACAAATGCACTTTACACAATTGATGTGTGTATGGACTGGGATAACAGTTGTATGAGCCCCTAATAAAATGTTAAAAATAAATAAAAATAAAGCTGTTAAAATGTAAAAAAAAAAACAAAAAAAAAAAACATGCACTGCAGAGCAGTGAAGGGGCACGTGCTGCCCCTGCTTGTCTGGCAGCCGGCCCCCACCTGTGCGTGTGCACAGCCCGCCCTGTCCTCCAGGAGCAGGCCGGGCAGTGGGCAGGGAGATGGGGGCAGTGGCTGGAATCGGACGTTAAGTGAGGGGAGGTATTCTCATTTGTTTACAGTGGGAAAAGGCGTAAGGAAGCAAAGCCTGTGGTAAAGGTGCACTCAAGGGGCAGGCAGACACTCCACATGTGGAGGAGAGAAGCAAGAGCATTCGGTTCCTGAAAAGGGAGACAGTGCAGGTGAGAGAGGGCTGGCTTCAGTCAGAGGAATGGGTGGCAAGAGGTGCCAGGGGATTGCATGCTGGGAAGAGAGGGCGAGCTGGCTGAGAAGTGTGGCCGGGACCCTGGCGAGTCCCCCGGGGTGAGGTTTCCTGCAAGGCCTTAGGGCCAGCAGAGTCACGAGGAGCGGAGGCAGACTGGGGAAGAGGGCTGCAGGGCAGGAGGCATGGTGCCAGCACGCAGCTCTGGGATGGCTGGGGAGGGAGCCGAGAACTCGCAGCAGCAGCAAGGACACCCAGCCAGCTGTGCTCAGGGCCTCAGAGGATGATGGGCAGGGAAATTCCACGTATTAGATCTCTGAGCCAAGCCCCAAATACCCCTTTCTGTCTGGAAGGCACTCACACATTTATTTAGAGGCTCCATATCTTAGAGAGCCAAACCTAAATAGAAGGGGCAACTGTTGAGACAGAGTGAACTCGGTTTCATTTTTCCCTTGTCAGGCTCACAACCGATGGAAAGGTATAAAAAAACGAGCAGGCAAGAACAGGGACATGTGGTTTTGTGCTGGGTTGCTAACCCCTAGGGCAGCAGTTTGAAACCACCAGCTGCTTCTCGGGTGAAAGATGGGACTTTCTACTCCCATAGAGAGTTCCAGTCTCAGAAACACAGGGGCAGTTTTACCTGGTCCTAGAGGGTCGAGATGACAGTGAGACTGACACCCAGGACCTATTGTCCATCCTGCAGGGAGCCCAGACACGTATCAGAAAACAGTATAAGGAAACAAGGGTGGATGTAAGATCAGTCCTAGTAGAACAGCACAAATGACAGGTACTAGCCCGCCCAGGCGCAACTCAAAGAGTGCACTTTTATTATGTGTGCTGTTAATAAGGAGCTCTACTGGCACAGCGGTTAAGCGCGCAGCTGCTAACCGAAAGGTCGCTGGTCCAATCCACTACAACCAGGGCTCTGAAATAGATTAGATCTTGTAAAATATTCTTGTAGAACAGATCTTATAAAAATCTAGCTTATGTATTGTCTACCAGATTAGCTAACACACTGCAGCTCTTGGCATGGAGTTTTATTTTTATTCCCTTAAAGGGTATTTCTTTTTTGATAAACAAACAAAACCAGATTTTCACTTAACTTTATATGCCAAGTTTGTGTGTGTGTGCGCACATGTGTGTGTCTGTGTGTGTTTAATAACCAATAGTAGAAGTTAAACTTCAAGTGAGGAACATGTTAGTCATAATAACCAATATTGAAGAAAGACATTTTTATGTCATTTCAAAAGTGGTTAATGCTAAGAACAGCACAGATGTTTGACAGGACCGTCTCCGAAACTGAAGGCGCTTGCAGCGTACGCCCCGAAGAAGCAGGACGAATCCATCCAGGTTGACAGGTGAAGAGTAATTACACACAGATGAAAACACATCTAAGACACCTGACCCTAGCTGCATTCCAGACAGTTCCCTTATACACCCACTGCTCCCTTGTCAACATGGCTGGGTTCCAAAGACCAGGTCATTATGCGAAAATGGGTATTACACAAAACACACACACACACACACACACACTAAGATGACCGCATGGGATTACGGAATGGAAGATCATTCATCATCAACACACTGCTGCAATGTGGTGAGTTGTTCACTAAGGCTGTTGTAGTGAAAGCCTTTGTTACTTCCACCAAATGTTCTTTTGCTTGATAATCTGGCCAGGGGAGTGTGGAGTGTGTGAGATGCTAACTGGACTATGGGGTTCTTCTGACTGTGATTTAACGGGGTACTGTGATTGCCATCCCACTGGGTACCCCATGAGCCATCCCAGATGCAGGAATCCCACTACCAGCAAGGGAAAAGAGGCAGAGTGGAGTGAGTCCTTGGGAGCCTGTGACCCCTGCATATTGAAGCCCCTTGATCCAGGAAGCAGCTGTGACACCAGAGAGGCAGAGGAGCAGAAACAGTAGCAGAACCAGGAACCAGGGCAATGGGCTTCCCCGCCCACCGAGCAAATAAAGCTGAGTGCCTTTGGACAGGAGACGGGCTTGTGGATAGGGTCTCTCTGGGCACTTAATTGGGGAA